CTTTTGTTTGAGCCAAAGACACTCATTTTAGTGTCTTCCCAATCATTTGGGGGGGTCTTAGAAGCGGAAGTGCCTATGGTTCATGGTCCATCTAAGGGTGCACCATGGTTTAGGCTAAACGCTAGGGTAGTTTGTGGTCTTGAAATGTTAGGTTAGAGCTTGCTGGAGTTTCAGGGAGGTCTCTGGATTTCAGAGATTTAGAGTTAGAATTCTGAGTCTTAGAGTCACTAGGGTTTGAGGGTAAAATTGCAAAATTTGTAGAACTAGTGGTAGGGCTCAAAATGTAGAATCTGGACCCTACAATGACCAGGAAAGGCAATTTACAAGTGGTGTCTTAGTCGGAGTCGCTCGTCGTCCTGTGACACGAGATGCATTGTTTGCTGCTCAGTTTGAGTTGTAGGACGTGGGGCTCTAGACAGTTAGTAGGGGTTTTTCAGGGCATTTCAAGGGGTTTCTAAGCTTGCAATGCTACTCTTTACATAGATGTAGAGAAGCATTGTTTAGCACTTATGTTGGGCCACATGGAAATTGAGGTATGCTATGGAATTTGTGTCTGTAATTCTAAGTTCACTCAAAAACAAAAAAACTTGATATAAAAATTGCTCTATGACATATCATGCATCGCACGCGATGCATCATCTGTCGTGTAGAGTATTTAGATACAATTTTTGGTGAAGATTATTGTTTTGGTCATAACTTTTTATACTATATATCAGATTTTAGTGATTTTTGGACCGTTGTAATGCTTATGACATCTTCAATAATTTGAATCAAATTTTACCTGATTTGGATGAAGTTTTAGACGGGGTATATTGTGTTTGGAGTCTAAATTGTTAGTTTCAGGGCTTTTGGCCATCAAGTTGGTGTACAGGGTAGTTTCTGTGTTTGTTAGGGGGTGACGAGTTTTGGGATAGCTAGGGTATGATGGGGGTTCAGAGTGGGGGGTCTACCCAATGCCATTTCATGTGTTCTTTCCCCTCTACCCAACCTTCTTTGTCTACAACCCTCTCTTTGTGTTCTTGATAACAATGCCTGCCATACTGCCTCAACCACCCTGGCCCCCGCACTTTATGAACGTTACCAAGGAAACATTGTCCATAGTTGCAGTCATAGCCCCCTTATTCCAACTGCATTTGCACTTCTCTACCAAATGCCTCTCATTCCTCCCTACTCTTCAAGTCCCCTTCCCCACCCTGCAACCTCACTTCGCCACCATACCATCTGACTCCAACCTGAGTTTGAGGCATTGGGATTACAACATACTGGGCATGTCGGCAATGTAGTCTATGAAAGAGGATCGAACTCAGAAGAAATAAGGTCAATCGATCGAAGTCCTGAGGTGACATCGAACTACTGTCATGAGCCAATTGACTACAATTCGATCGTTCTATAAATGATTTAGGTTATATTTTTAGAAAAAATGCTGTTAGAAAGAGTGAGGGCTGTAGGAAGCTCAAGAACTGACCCTCCTAGGCCTTCTGATCTCTGCTTCTCAATGGCGCTTGGGTGCTAATCCCTCACGCAATCCCCCTCTTCATGCCAAATGATGGTTTTACTATGGTAAAGAGTTCTTGGGTCCCCACCCAAATGAGGTCCACCCAAATGAGGGTTTTAATATGGAAAATTAGGTTCTTTGTGACCCCCAAAAGGAGGCTGCTTGCCTTATACTTACACCGTGCTGACATCCTGGACATCATAGAGACAACACTAGGCTCCCCATTCCTCCTTGAGGTCCTAAGTATCACGTGTAGAAGACCTATCCAATGGGAAATCTGGCTGGCCCAGGGAGCCTCAGGAGGCATTTCAGATGGAAGGGAGTGTGAATTTTCCAGAGTTTACTGCCCAAATAGGCCTGCCCTTAGACCAAAATTCTTTGCTCAGTTGCACTACATCTTGGGTTCTCAGCCCCTGGTGCATTAGAGGTGACTTCAATGTCACTGGTGGAGTTTCAAAAAGAGCTCTGGAGGTCGTGTGACAGCTGGTATGATGGTTTTCTCAGATTTTAGTTTTGAACACAAACTCATGGACCTCCCCCTAACAGAACTCTATTGACATGGTTGAACTACGCCCAAGTCCCTAGTCTTCTCAAGATTGACAGATTTCTTATCTCCCAATATTGAGATCCTCTGCTCTCTGGGGTACTCTAGAAACCTACCTAAGATCACTTCAGATCATATGCCAAACTTTCTGGATACTGAGCCCTTGTTTAGGGGGCCAAATTCTTTTACTTCAAACTCATTGCTTGAAGAAGCAGAGCTGCATACTTTGATCCCATGGTGGTGGTCAGTATCACCAAAAAACTACAGTTACTGAAGTGAAAGCTTAAGGAATGGAGTTACCACCTGTTTGTTAGTCCCCTGGCAAAGAAAGAGGCCCTTCATAGGATATATCTGACCTGGACTTCCTGCAGTGAGTCTTTCCCCCCTGGAAAAGGCCGGAAGGATGGAAGCAAAATTTGAACTCAATAAAGTGGCAAAGTAGGAAGAGCTCTATTGTTATCAATTGTTGACAATTAAATTGTGAAAGGAGGGAGACTGTGCCACGTCCTTCTTTTATAAAATTCCTAATTGTAGACAAAGATCCAATTCAACATCCAGATAACTGAAGGGCAAGAACTACTTGGCCCCCAAACGAGTGAATAACATCATCATTTGCTTCATTAAGAGGCTATTCACTGCCAGATCCCGCCAAGACCTAGCCTCACAGGCATGCACCTCAGAACTCTCTCTCAAGCCCAGGCTAACTCACTGTAAAGCTTGTTCACGGAGCGAAAAATTAGAAGAGCTGTAAAAGAGCTGGTGCATGATACGGTCCCTATACCTGATGGTTTCCTGTTGGCAATTTTCAATCAATGCTAGGATGTCTTTGCCGCCGATTAATTATCATGCGTCTTTGGGTTTTGTCATCAAGGAATCATCCACAAGGGGATGAATTCCACATTTATCGGTCTAGTCCCTAAAATTGGAGGAGCTGCCAAAATCAAAGATTACCAGCCAATTTGCCCGTTGAATGGCACCTATAAAATTCTAAGCAAAGTCTTGGTAACCCGCCCTCTGGAAGTTCTCGATGATATCATCTCAACCCACTAGGATGCTTCTGTCAAAGCTTGACAAATCCTTGATAGGCCCTTAATCGCCCACAAATGCCTTAATTACATGATCTAGTTTAAGCCTTTTGGCTTAATCTTCAAACTTGATAGAAGAGGCCTACGACCTCGTTCATTTGCTAGTTATTGACAAACGGTTGATGGGTTCTGGGGATAGATGATGATCATGGAACTCAGGGTGTCTCTCCTCATCCATGTTCTTGGTCTAAATTAATGGTGATACCAGAGGCTACTTTCAAGCCTCTAGAGGGCTGCACCAAGGTGACTCCCCCCCCCCGCCCCCCATTCTCTAGCTATAGTTGCCAAAAGTTTGGCAGATCAATCTCAAATCTTGTGGATCAAAACTTGTTCCGAGGTTTCAAATGGTAAAGTAGAGCCCCATTAATCTCCCACTTACAGTTTGCAGATGATACTTTGGTCTTTTGTGAAGCCTCTCCTAAGGGTGTTTCTCAGGTGCTTTGAATTTGCAATTGGCCTCAAAATCAACATGCAAAAAAACCCAACTCGTGGGTATTGGGGTGGAAAATAATACTTTAAGGTGTTGTTGGCAAGATTGGTTTCGGTGTAGAGTGGCTGCCATGCAAATACCTGGGGTTACCTTTGTGCACAGGAAAACCTAGAATACACCATTGCTATGGCATAATTGAGAGGTTTGAGAGGACACTAGCCTCCTTTAAAGGGTGCTTGTTATCTTTGTTGGGGAGAGTTACATTTGTCAAAGCCAGCCTTTCTAGCATCTTAATCTGTCCCTCTTTCAAATGCTGCTGTTGATAGTCCATTGGTAAATGCAAATGATGAGGGATTCCCCTGGTCAGAGGCTCATGGTAGCCAAAAATGCTCCTACTTAACTGGTCCATGGTGTGCAGGTCAAAGAAAGCTGTAGGTTTGGGTATTAGATCGACTAATGACATGAGCACTACCTGCTAGGCAAATGTCTTTGGCTTCATGACCCAAGAGACTCATCTTTGGAGGATGGTCGCCTAGCAAAAGTATGGATGAAATGAGTCTGGTTGGTGGTCGAAGTCCAATGTCAGGCCCCAGATGTCTGCAGCATGGAAAGAGATGCTCTTGGCATACTCTTCCTTCTCTATCAAAACTCACCTGTTACCATAAACTGGTGATAGATTTTGTTTCTGGCTAGATAACTGGAGATGCAATGTTGATCAGTTCCCATAATTATTCTCGCTATCCTCTAATCAAGCATGCTCCATTGCTGAGGTAATAGAATTATTGGTTGGCACCAATGTGGACCCTAAGATTCAGACGCGATCTCAATGACATGAAACTGCTTAAACTAGGGAGTTTGTTCTCTACTCTTCAAAGCTTTATCCTGCCTTGGTTTGGTTGGGACATTTTCATTGGTAGTCCCTGGTCTTTTCCAGTTTATCATTCTTCTACCACATCCTCAGAAATAAAGGCCTCCACCAACTCAGAGGTCACACTTTCTTGATTGCCTCCTGACCCCAATAGGATCCAGCTGTTTGGGTGGCTGGATGTACAAAAAGGATCCTAAAAACTGAACCAGTGACAAATGCCTAGCTTTACGATGCCCAATCTACTCCTTTGCAAAGATAGTAAAGAGACAGTGGCCTACCGTTTCCTTTATTCCCCTTCTGTAGGGAACCGTTGGAGCCAATGTTTACAAATGTTTGGGACAGAATGGGTAGCACCTGAAGCTATCGAACAACTATTTTCAACCCATTTCAGGCCCCCACTACCAAAGGCAGGACTAATATGTTGAAGGGCCTCAACCTTTGCATGTTATGGAATGTGTGGAGAGAATGTAACAGGACCATCCTATATGTTAAGTTGAAAATCAAAACAATGGCGATTGAATGCATGAGAGAGCTTAAAGGTTTCAAATCTTACATGACTTTGTATTTCCTACTAACAGGGACATAATAGCTTGATGTGGTCGAACTCTCAACATTGAACCTTGTGCTGGTGGCCACCGAAACTGGGCACCATCAAATTAAACTTTGACGGGCGTTTATTTGGAAACCAGGCAGCGTAGGTGTGGGAGCAATGTTCAGTGATAGTAAGGGAACCACGATCTTATTCATTTGGGGGCCCATCAACATTACAACGTCATCAATGGCAAAGCCATGTGCCCTCTTACGAGGCCTCAAGCTCTTCAATAGAAGTTTGGGCACCTCGTTAGTCTTCCAAGGGAATTCAAAAAATGCCATCAATTGGGCCAATATGGTCATGGAGACGGATTGAGATCTTGAAGATATTTTATCGGTATGTGCCTCACTTAACTTCACCTTTTCATTATATTGGGCAAGAGGCCAATAGCATAGCCAATGTTCCAAAAAATGCCGGTTGGTGCCATGCACTTGTGGGGGGGATGGCCGTCAGATAGGAGTGGGCGGCCCAGATTTCTCGATCTTCAATCTGCAACATTTGAGATGTTTCCCGATCTCAAATGCTTCCTAAAAGCCCTCTAATAAGCTTCAAAAATCTATAAAATCAAATTCAAACCAAAAGGATGATGTTTGGATCAATTTTTCAAAACTCTGAATTAACCCATCAATCTAATAGGAAAGCAAATATGTATCTTCTTGTTGTTTTTTTGCACTTATGTAAAAAGAAAGGGTTTAGGACATATGAAAATCTACCCCCCCCCAATCTCTTCCCCCTTATTTTGGGGGAAAAGTACAAAAATGCCTCTCTATTGGGGGCATTTTTGCCCCTGGGCAGGCATAGTCCTAGGCCGCCTCCTAGGCACCAGATAGGCTATTTCTTGGAACATTGGGCATAGCAGATGGCTTGGCTAAACAGGGGGCTCCTAGCACATCTCTAGTGCTCAATCCACCCTTAAGTGTAACACCACCGGCATTTTTTTGTTTTCCATTTTGGCTGTTTAGTGATTTTGCGAGACTGAGCGCTTCTTCTTTCATGAATGTCGTCTCCAATTTCATTCATGGTATGCCGTATACTGCAGTTTGTATATGTATCAGTTCAAATACCTATTTAATATAGGTAACACTACTCAATTTGTGTATGTATCATTTTAAATATCTACTTCGTTTGACATGCGTTGGTATGAAAAACCTACTTCCAATTTGATTTCTATTTTTTGAATCAGAAAATATTCAACTGCAATTAATACAAGTATTATGTGGCAGGCACAACAGGAACATGTTCCTCGAATATATAAGCTTGCCAGTATTGGCTCTTTTTGGAATATTTGGGGTTATGGCACTTTCTTTTCACATAGATGGAGTTCTTGTATAACTCCATTTTCATTTTTATTGAAATGCTATATTTTCATAGTACCTTTGGTTATTATTTTGAGGCAGCAAAAAGTTTACAAGTTCTTGAGGTTTTTAGTCCGTTTATCTCGTATTAATCGTCATTTATTATTTGTACAAATACATGCCTTCACTGTGTGTGCTAGCTATGTGCTGGAATCCATCTATACAAAGGAGAATTGCATTGAGGCAATTGTTTTCAAAATATTCTCAACTTTAGAGTCATGAAGAGCTAACCAAATCTTTTCTTTCTATTCAATGAAAATCCAATACCAATTAATGAATTAGTACGTCATATTAGACAGCTTTCAATAAACATTCTCATCTAAATGTTACTTTTTTTGTTTGTGGTATACTAAGAGATCCATAAACTCCGTGTAGAATACCAGTGTCAACATTGATACAAAGGCGCCATACTCCTGGGATACTTTTAATATAATAATATTAAAAGAACAGATTATGAATAGTATATATTTAATAAATGTATGCATGGTATATGAAGTTATTCACGATAATATGATTTACTTAAAATTAATAAAATCTAAAGTAATTACATGTTATTGTATATCTTAAAGATATCATATATCTTAAACATAATGTGTTTAAAATCTAAAGTAATTACATGTTATCTTATATCTTAAAGATATCATATATCTTAAACATAATGTGAATAATTTAAGATAAATCTTGAACATTGGTCGAACTATATGATGGAATACTAATATAATAAAGTTATCTTGAACATGTAATATGATATGGTCGAACTATATGATCGAATACTAATATAATAAAGTTAAAGGCATATCTGTTACTATATCTTGTGTGTAATAGTCTGTGTTTTGTGCGTGTTTGTTTGTCGAGGATATTCATATCTGCATCTATGTGCTAGATATTGGAAAATGCTAAGTCATGTGCCCCTCCCCATATCAACATTTACTTTTTATAACTTGAGATTATTAATTACCTTTCTGTCACTGTGCTAGCGAGGGTTTACTAGGTCCCTCCATGTTCTATTAATAAGAAAAAGAAATGGATAGAGCAGAGCACATGACTAGCATCAAACTAAAGAGATATATGCTCTCCCTCGTGATTACAAGGATACTAAATATAAATCAAGCACTCCCATCGCCATTTCATAACCCCTAGGGAGAGAAACTACATTCCTTTTGGTGCTATAGATACCAGTGATCAAAATCACCAAGTGGACTCAGAATCACTTGAGTTGACTCGGAACCGGAGGAGTACCAGGCTGGTTCTTGCCAGACTTGGGCAAATCTCTTGGTATTTTCTTATGATGTGAAAATGCTGGTAAAAAAAAAAGGTTTATTTTTCAGAATTGTTTTCCATCTAATAATCCACATCTAACCCCCATTTTGATAGATGAGCACAATCAATCCCTCTTATACTTAAAAAAATCAAATTTTTAATCAAATTTTACATTTGGGTAAAATTTCCTCATAAAAAATTCTTACAATATCTCTCATTTCTCAACCAAATAATCTATACAATTGATTCAAAATGTTGGTATTGGAGCCTTCTATCATATCCTTATAACAATTTGTTGGACTAAAAAGTAAAAGAGAAGACATTGTCTAAATTTCAAGGGTTTGTGACCGGAAATTGGAAATATCTGATTTCTCTCTCATTTTTTTTATCAAATTTATTCTAAATTTTCCCAAATATCTTGGAGATTATTTTTGGTTATTTATTCAGCCATATATCTTTGCCATTTTCTTCCCAAAGTGTTTTTTTTTTCTTAATTTTAATTTTTGAATGGATTTTAATTTGAACTTCTTATTATATGTAATCAAATATTTGGGTTTCAATCCTTGATTTTGTATATTTCTCGTTTTTCCTTTTTTTTTCTCAATTTTCTCGAATCCGTTGATCCAACTCAGTGACTCATCCTATTTTGCTTGGATTGGTGGGTGACCGGTTCAAACGACCTGTCCGATACTTTAAACACTGGTAGGTACACTCTTGTAATGCTACAAGTTGTGTAGTATACTCCACCTCGGCTTCTTATGTGGGTGTGTAGCTTCTTGCGTTGTTGATGCATGTTTTGTAAGTGTCACGTGTCCGTCATTGAACCGTTTGACCGAATAGGCATCTGAAATTTAATTTTATTATGTTTTTTGTTTCTCATCTCACTCGCTTTTGCAAATTCAGTCAATGGGATAGTGTTATTTTTTTCTTTTTATGTTTTAGATTTTCCCCGATTTTTTCTGTATTTTTTAGGGAAACTCTTTTAGCTTGTGAAAAACTCAATGAGTCCACTCAAGACTTGTTACGAGCCCATGAAAAGTTTATGAGGAAGTCCAAGTTTGCTAACTCTGCTGCTGCTAATTAGGCAAAGAAGCCCATATCCTTGTATGTCTTTCAAATCTATTCGTCATTCTCTATGTATAGAACAAATGACCATCTACCCAGAAGCGTGATCACTGTGGTCAATACTACTAGTGAAGTTAAAACATTCTTTGAAAGTAAACCTAGATCTTCCTCTCAAAGCAAAGGTGGAATGTAAAATGGTCGGTCATCTCTTTCATATTTGGACAAGGTTTTAAAAATGGATCGGAAATCATTGAAGCTGGTCCGCTTCTCGTCATATATTGGGAACTGACCGAGTCCCCCCCTGAACCGGCCGGCTCTCACCGGTTCTGTAAGGAACCGGCTGAATATGTCAAAACCGAACCAGCCGATTCTATCCTGAACCGGTTTTGGTGGGAGGAATTTTTGTATACACATTAAATAGGGTTTGAAAGGGAGGATTTTTGCATGTGCATCTTTGATATTTTTTTTAAAAGAGGGTTGCTGGTTCACCCCATATTTTTTATTTGTAAAGTGGGCCCCAACCATTAGTTGGCTACAACATCTCATGCACGCCTTAGCAAGCGTGTTGTGCAAGTGGGAAAGCTAAGAGCTTGTGTGAGCTTAAAGCTCTTTATGAAGAGTCTACACCGCTTCGATGTGGAACAATTGCTCCCGCTTTTTTACTCCACGCCACGCCTCTTTTCTTTCGCCCCTTATTAAACCACATTCTTTAACCCTTGTATTTCTCGATTTAGCAAAAAAAAAAAAAGGCCTATGTGAACCACATGTAACGTGTTAAAATCGAAATCTCATATGATCCTTAAAAACCTAACAAGTCATTGTTCAAAGAATGTTTTGAAAAGGATTACCTTAATACTCTTTCCTAATACTTACAATAAATATTTTGGCTTAGTGCACTTACTTTTTACTTGTTGGGACTACTTGTTGGGACTACCTTAATGCTAGATTATTTTATGTATTTGATTTTGTTGGAAATACCTTCATGTTAGATTCTTTTTACTTATTTTATTTTTATTTATTGACTCAGTTATTTTTGGGGTGGGATTTATTAACTGGAACAATCACTCTTAAATTAAAAAAAAATATAAAAAAAAATATAAAAAAAAAGAAGAAGAAAAACTTTAGAATAGTGACAGCATGTGGGTGAGAAAGAAGAATGGAGGGCTATAGCTGTTTCCCTGATAGCTATTTTGGTTTAATAAAAGCACAATATCTCATTGTGAGGGTTATAGTTTTTGGTCATAGTTTTTTTTCTCACTGTCAAATAAAAAAGGTTCAAAACTATTGTACAATTCCTTTTTTTTTGTTTGCTAAATATTTGAGTTAGAGATATTTATTTTATTGCAATGAGTTGTATTTAAATGTTATTTTGACCACAAAATTAATCTAATGGATAACAAACACTTAGATATGAGGCATGCTCTGAGTATTTATGTATTTTTAGTAAAGGGTTATGTTAGGGTGCTCACATTATGGAGTAATTTATTATTGTACTCAACAAAATTTGGACATTTATATACTCTTGTTTGTGCATGGAGTTTTTTTTATTTATTAAGGGTATTTTTGATCATTAGGAGGGGTGTAACATCATCTACATGGGTGTGACATCATCCACATGGAGCATTAAATGTCACTAGTGTGGTCCATTGGGGTGATGTCACACCCTATATGGATGACATCACACCCCTCTTAATGACCAAAAATACCCTTATAGAAAAAAAACTCCATGTACAAACTAAAGGTATATAAGTGTCCAAAATTTGTTGAGTACAATGATAAATTATTTTATAGTGTGAGCACCCTAACATAACCCTTTAGTAAAATAATGAAAAGTTATAATGCAATACCATTTGCTTTTGGAAACCTAAAAAACTAGATTTTTAAGCAATTCTAGTAATTTTTTGAAATTTTTTCAGTGCTGCCGATCCGGCCGATTCTCCGATCCAGATTGCCAATCCACTAATTCAACATGGTTTTTGGGGTGGCCGATCCGGGTCATAGATCCGTTTTTTTGAACCTTCTGTTTGGATACATTTAAAGTTAATATCGAAACATAATGTTGAGTATTGTCGTCCTGTATGTAGCATATATTTGTACAGCTTGTAAACCATAATGGGCATGGTTTCTATGGGTCCCCGGACTCATATGTAGAAATACACCCAATCTTAGTAAAATCTATTTTTGAAATGGATTTTGGCCCTGATTTTAAAGGGGTATATAATCTCTAAAATGGAGACCATTAATATGTAAAAATAAATAAAAATTGAAAATTGGAAATATTAATTTTTAACACAAATATTTGGCACATTGGTTTTAAACCTTTTTTTTCGATGGACCACTGTTTACATCCATCTTTGAGATGGATGATTTATGCCTTGGGGGATGCAAATGTATGAATGCGTCCCTTGACATGTATAGCACTTTACAGAACCTGTAAAACAAATGTTTGTTTTCTCTTTAATGATCATTGCTATCACTAATAGTTAGAAAGTGCTATATTTATCAGATCTCAGGAGATTCCATTAGTTATGAAATTATATTTCAGCATATGTTTGACTTTATTCGAGGCATGCATTTAGCACTCAATAATTTTGAATTAATATGATGTGCCTTCCTGCACTTAGAAGTATGAAGCATGTATTCAAGGAATTTCATGTTCTGCTATCCTGAAGTTCTATTCAATTGTGTCCCTCTAAGGAACCATGATACAGTTTATCCATGCTTTTCAATTTTCAGATATTCTTGAGGTATGGTTTGCAAGTGTTATTTGGGGATGTTGTAGTGTTTACAAGTGATCGTTATCCTCTATATAATGACTTGCCAGCTAATATACTTGGATCTTTCATCATGGGATGGTTCGCGTTTGGGTTTAAACCCAGCATCTTGGAATTTTCGGAGTTGTTAGCCCTCGGGCTTACTACAGGGTTCTCGGGAAGCCTCACCACATTTAGCGGTTGGACACCTTTAGCTGTTGGATCCAGAGAATGCTCAATTTAACAACCCATGGACAATGGGTGGTTGGTATTTTAGGCCTTCCATTAGGTAACCAGTTGAAGATGAGAAAGAAATTCATATTTATTTTCTGTAACTGATGCTCAGTTAAAAGACATCCACTTGAAACCATCTAGACATGCCTTTTCGTTTTATAATATTTTGGTGATTGTATGGAGCGTGCTTTTATCTGCAGTATATGGGGAGGTATCATATTTTATAGTCTATTTAGGTTAAGATTGGAAAGTACCATCACATTCTTTGCCGATCAAGGATGAAACTTAGAACAAAGTAGAATTATTTCGCCTTGCAGTGAATTTTGATGATGAAACTTATTGTGATATTTGTTTTATGATTGACTAAGAGGCATGTTACTCATGATTTGTGCACTAATGTTTGGCATAGCGACTGCAAAGAAATGAAGGCAATTCATGGACTCTTGCTTTGAAGGCAAATGTCAGGTTAAGATCCGTAGGCTGGAAAGAAATGAAGGCCTTGTCCTGGTCATGTTGGCCTTGATATGGGGGGCTAAGCATTTTCCTTACGTACCAAAACTTTAAGAAACATAATGGCGAAAAGCTATGGCTGGCTTGTTTGGTTGGCCCACCTGGTGTATGGACTAGATGGTTTCTGAATGGTAGAGCTTTGAAGGGAAATGTCAGGTTAAGATTCGTAGGCTGGAAAGAATTGAAGGCATTGTCGTGGTCATGTTGGCCTTGATATGGGGGGCTAAGCATTTTCCTTACGTACCAAAGCTTCAAGAAACATAATGGCAAAAAGCTATGGCTGGCTTGTTTGGTTGGCCCACCTGGTGTATGGACTCGATGGTTTCTGAATGGTATTCTTTGGGCCGAATCAGCGCTTAAAAGTTAGTTGCTGCGGGTATTATGGCGTCTTTATACACATTGAACAAAAAGTTAGTTGCTGCGGGGATTGTGGCGGCTTTATCCACATTGAACCTAGCGGTAAGTTCCTTATCGTTCATTGGTCATTCTTTGCCTATATTATGAAGTTACCAGAATAATTGGGATTGTTAGAAAAAATCCTACAAAAAAATGGTGTTTGCGTTTTGAAAGTCATTGATATTTTTGATACTGAGACCTGTTTTCTTATGGCCAAGCAGTTGCCATTTTCTGCTCCAGGGGAAGTATGCTATAACTCAATGGATGGTGAGAAAAAAGACAGAAAGCATCCTGTGTTATTACTGCCCATTGAAATGGTAAGTGAGAGAGTGGCACGCAGTAGATGGGGCATATCATATTCTAGGCGTCTCACTCTTTCTATCACCACCCATCATTGTGATTACCCAATGGGCTACATCTCTTCTTTCAGGGCCTGTTGATTAGTGGTATACTTTCTGTTTTATTCAACTGGGTTTTGCACGAGAAGTTTGGCTCCACCTTTCTTTCTTTGGCTGAAATGTGCTCTAGCTCGATGTTTTTGACTATTATAAATGTGCCTTTATTTTCAGGGTTGGTAAATTATGCATGTATTTTGCAGGAAAAAACTGAATCTTCTCAGACTGTTATAGAGGGGATACAGCTTGGGTTCTTGGGCTATATGATCACAGTCTCGGCATTTGTTGCAGAGGTTTATTGCTTGATTGAGAGCGGCCATATTTGGAGAGTGTTTGGGTATATGATTTTGAGTATAGGGTTGTCGTTTGGTTTGGGTACTTTGGTCTACTCCACCTGTTTGGACCAAGGGTTACTCTTTTACTGATGAAAGGTGACCCATAGGATTTTTACGGATGGAAGGTGACCCATAGGATAATTGCAAAACCAGTAAGAACTCTCTCTGCTATCTACAACCAGGTTTCATTGAAATATGTCCGGCCATTGAGACCTCAATGGGAATAATGTTTACCAGTTGCCTATCATCAATCCTACCATCTACAAGGGATGCCAGACCCAATATGCTCCTACCATTGGAGACTCTACTAAATAAATACAATATATTATCTAATATATAATGGAAAAAGTTTATATAGAGTCGAGGTTCTAAATAATCAAATTAGAGCCCACCTCAAAACTTTCACTAGAAGAGGTTGTTTTGATACTCAAATATCCTCAAATTGATCATCTCGAAGATAAGATGCATGGACATGAGAAAAAATTGGATTTCAAGTTTTGAAAATAGTGCTCTTGTAATGTATTTTTGGTCTGTCAATTTTCAAGATTTTCATAGATCTACACGATTTATACTAATTTTGAAGATTTAAAATTTGTAATTAAAGATAAAAATATATTTTAAGGCTATCACAAAGATTTCTAGTATTGAAACCACATTTCTCGACACTATTTGAAGGTAGGCCTCAGTTTGATTGTTTAGAGCCTCGGCTTTATACAAACTGCACCCATATATAATAAAATGTATAATATAAATATTTGATATATATAACTTAATATAATATAATGTATTTTATTTTTGTTTATTAATGTATGTTTGTATGATATATAATATATTATATATAATATAATTATATTATATTATATATATGTAAAATGATATATTATATTATAATAAATATATAATATATTTTATTATATATTTAATATATGAGAAATGATCTTATAGGACCTTCTCCCACCCATATATGTAGGACCTTCAAAAGATCACCATTAAAGTTGGTACGAATCTTTAGAAGCTTTGTAGTTATTGATCAAACTACATCCAAACCACACCCATATGTGTAAGACCCTCAAAAGATCACCATAAAAGTTGGTACGAATCTCTAGAAGCCTTGTAGTTATTGACCAAACCAAATGAAAGAAACTTCCATCTTCTCGATTAAAACAAGATACTAGTAATTGGTAATTGTTTTTGAATCAAGGGGTTTATTCATAGTTATTTTTGTTTGATTTGAATTCATAATTGTTTGAATTGTGTAATCTCCAACTATTGGTATTGGTAACCGACCCAAAGCAATTTGATTATAATTCAATTCGTGACGATCATAGGTGGAAAGTTCATATTCTTCAGTCATGGATAAACAGTTTGTGGGGCAATACTTGAAAAAGTTACCACAAAATATACAGATTTGAAAATCAGTACTATAATTAAGCAATCGTTTTTTTCTAATATCTGTTTCGAATCTCCAGTCAACAACGGGGAGATCTATCAGGTATACACGAATGCATACTTTCCACACCCATGTGATAACTTTTCTAGAGATCTGTGCCAACGTTAATGGTGATCATTTAGGGTCTTACACACATGGGTGGGAGAGGGTCCTATAGGATCATTACTCTTAATATATTCTAATATAGTATTATTTACATATATATAATATAATAAAAATGGGTAATGATCTTATGATACCCTTCCACACCCATGTGAGTAAGACTCCAAATGATCACTATCAAATTTGGCACAGATTTTTAAAAAAATCAAGTCTCACATCCATGTAATAACTTTTTTAGAGATATGTCAAATTTGATGGTGATCTTTTGGGGTCTTATTCACATGGAAGTGGTGGGGTCTCATAGTGACATTTATCTAAATATATACATATATTATATTATATATTTAATATATTCTAATATAATATATATGAATATTATATTATATCATCTATTTAATAAATAATACAATAAATAATATTATATGTAATACAAATTTATAATTAAAAATAAAAATATAATGTGTAATATAATATTATTTATATAAAATTTTGTTTATATGTTTTTACTATGGGATTTATTTGCATGTGCATTACGCACTAAACAAACATATGCAATGTAGGAAAAGAGCCGGGGCTTAATTGGTTAGCCCTTGATGATTTGCAACGCCATGTTCTTGGTACAATTCTTTGCAATTCTTACAAAGGGTGGGAACCCTGTCCCCACTGACTCACCCTAAAAAAGAAATATATATACGAAATTTTCACGTGAAAATATTTTTCGAAAAACATTTACGCACGAACCAAACATGCTCGCTATTTGGCAGAGTTACATGAGTACTTCAACATTCTTATTGCATCATGTTTTGACATGCGTCGATTTTTGAAGATTGACGATATTGTAGTAAGGGGAATGATCATGTGTATTTTAAGGGATTGTACACAATGAAACCATTTATCTTTTGTATAGGGAGGTCACAATTACATATAACCACCTGATGTGAAATTTGATAGCTTGGTGTGTCACAAAGTTCGAGAAAATATTTTTTGAACTTTGAGCTTGATCAATGAAGTAATGCAGCCACTTAATTTCAAATCCAATTGTCAAGATTAATTATGACCACCTTATAGCGAAGGTAAATGGACTCATTATATACTTTCCCATATTTTAATAGGGATTGTCTACAAAGAGACCATTTATATTTTATATATGGAGGTCAAAATCATTTCTACTTATTATATATCAAATTGGATGGTTTGAGATGAGTAACGTTTTTTTTTGGAGCTTTGTGTCTATTCAATAATATTCTTACAACCCACTCATTTTGAAATTTCAGGGATAAAAATGATTGTGATCTCTATGTACAAAAAATAAATGATCTTTTTGTTTTTCATGTTTTTTGAGAGACATTGACAATTTATTGCATCGTCAAAGAACAGTTACAAAGATTCAGTCGCCAAAAATGGTCATAAAACAAACCACAAAGCAAAAGAGTACAAAATAACATAAAAACAACTAAGACCAGCAAATAAAGCATTCAGCAGCAACTCTAGCTTTTGCCAAACGATCTGCCTCCATGTTGCATTCTCTATACGCATGTACCAAAGATACTACCATTTCCAAACATATTGTAGATGCCTCCCGAATCAATTCATGTGGATACTCTGCCTCCTTCATCCATTTAATGACGTACATCGAATTTCCTTCCACCACAACAGGCCTATTGAACCTTTTTGCTAGCTTAACATCTTGAAGCAAAGCTCTCAACTCTGTTTCGTTCTCTTCATTGTCTTATCCTTCATAAGTACATGAAGATTAGACCTAAGATCCTCCCTAGACACCACCTACCACTCCTCTTTCACTGCTAGCCACATATCTGTATTTTTTCATTTAATTCAATGCTCGATTCACCATTATTGAACTCATGTTGCATTCTTTCCACATCTCCCATACTACTGTAACAAATTTTCATATAAACTTTCCTTTCTTTCCAACACCTGCAATCTTCCTGTGACCAACTACATTTTCAGCTTGTGTGGGAAGACCTACTCGTATGTATGCCTTGCCAATCTAAACACCAATGCAAAACTGATTTAATGTAACAACAATTTAGAAATAGATGGTCAACATTTTCCTCATTACATTTACACAACATACAAACGTTTGACAATATTTTATCATGCTTCCTCAATATATCAACTGCTAATAGTTTTTTCCGATGCAATAACCACATCAAAGCTTTGACTTTAAGAGGAATATGCTATTTTCCAGATTTTCACCACATCTACATCTTTCCACCTATTTCAATCATAGTACAACAGTTTATGTGCTGAGCTAATAGAATATTCACCATTTTTACTTGGGTTCCCACACAATTCTGTCCTCCACCTCAGAAAATAAAAGTATTGCTTAACATAACTAGACATTGAAGATATTCATCCGTCACATTACTAACAACTCTTCTGTAAGAACATCTAACATCCCAATTTGCAATAAATCCCTTTCTACCCACCAGTTCGGTGATACTCTTACTCTTAGAAGCAATGGTTTAAAAAACGGATCGGTGACTCGGATCGGGCTTCCAAAAAACCGATCCGGATCGGC